CCTGATCTCGGTGATGGTGGCAATATGTAGGCGTCCAAGGTGACCGAAGTATTACTACCTAGGATCATCTTCCCCCTGTGGAGGCAACCCCCTGTGCTGGTGTTGGTGTGAAGTCGGGCACGTCCCTCTACATGGGGAAACCCAAAAATAGTCAAACAATAACGTGGGGGCGTTTTTTGGACATTGTTTGATTCTTTTAATGTATGCATATATACATATATATGTGTATATATATATGTGTTGCCTATTTTGGATTGTTCGTCCATAGTCTCCTCCTGTATGAGGATTTGCCCGACCTAATGTTGGTGCCAATTTCCCAGGCCCCCGCTGTTGGGGAGACCGCGCCGATTTGGGGCCAGATCTGGGGCCCTAGAGTGGGCCCCAGACCGCGCGCGCAGGTGTTCCTGGTCCAGCCAGGAGAGCGTGCGCACCGATCCTGGGCGTAAGTCGGGCCTGTCCCTCTACAGGAGGAAGGTGAAACAAGTGTCTTGTATTCTTCTTTATTGGCAACAAAGGCCGAAAAAAAAGTCTGGGGACGATGCTTTGACTATTTTTGGTCATTTTTGAATTTCGGGGTATGTGAGATTCTTCGTCCAAAATCCACCTGTCAAGGGACATGCCCGACCGAATTCTGGTCCCAGGCTGGCCCTGGCCAGGATCGGCGCAGGTGTATGGTTCACGCCCCCTTGGGAGGAGGAGGAGGAGGACCAGTGTAAACCCAAGTTGCCCAGGACGCATCAACGATGTTGCAATACACCCTCCCTCCAAATTCCCTCTACACGGGTCCCTAGAAAGGAATATGTTATGAGTCTGGGAAGTGGCCCATGAAAAGACAACCGTCTGAGAATCCTCACTCGTGCCACAACACAGCTCCTGGGGCTACAGCGCCGCGGATCTACATGACCGTTGCGTCCTGACAGTTCGAAATCTTGACAGAATGCCGTTCCTAGGATGTCAACACCGCGAAGCAACGTGGGCGTTAGGCCATGAAAATTCTAAATCGTGCCAGACCTCCGTTTCTGGGACTTCGACCGTACGAATCCTTGACGCAGCTGGGAACTTTTAAAACGAAAGTGCGCGGCGCCAAAGCGAAAGCCACATGTTAAAGTGGAACCGCCCTCCATCCTTGAAGCAGCTACAGAGTTTGGAAACGAATGTACGTGGCGCTAAGGCGAGAGCGACATTTTGAAAACTGCCCGCCCGTCCTTCATATTTGAAACTGCTACAAACTTTTAAGACGAATGTGCGAGGCGCTGAGGCGAGAGACACAGTTTGAAAACCAGCCGCCATTCATCCGCGAACTTGTTGTACATTCCAAGCTCCAGGATCACAGATGGCCAGGTAGTCCCAGACGAAACGCCCAGCCGGCCGTACCGACACGTCTGGGTTTGCGACAGGGAGGGGATAGGTGTATAAGGAAGAGGGACAGAGGTGTAGAACAACGAGCAGGAGGAGGAGGACGAGGACGAGGACGATCTCCTCAAGTTGCCCTAGATCAGGGCGGGATCATGGACTCGCTCGGCCGACATTGCTCGCCGCCCAGCCGCGCTCGACGCTCCCCCGCACGCCGAAGAAGCGGCTGGGGCGGCCAGAGCGTCCCGCGGACGCTCCGCAGACAGAGCGGGCGCGAGGACGCTGCGAGAAAAGGGCGTCGCGGCGGCGGCAGCGAGGTCACTCGTAGGCAGGAGACAGATGGGACGCTCCAAACTCCAAAAATGGCCTTGCTTCTGAGGGTCGAAGGAGTTGCCATCTTTTCCTCGGCGGAATGCGGCGGAAGGTCGGCGGGAGTAAAACGAGGCTGCCTCCGCCGGCGGAAGCCAGCGGAAGCTCGGCGGAAGACGGCGGAAGTAAAAAAGATGTGGGTCCAGGGTGTCCGAAGTCGCCCATATCCACATCCAGGGCCTCGATTTCTCGGCCGCGGCCCCATCGGTGCACTGCGAATCTGCGCGGGCCCCGCACGAAACGGACCTACGGGATCCCCCGTGTCCGCGGGCTCGCGCTTATAATGAGGTGTCCGGACCGCGAGGGCACGGGTGTGCATGTTCGCCGCTCGTGAGTCACGCGCTTGTGGGTTGCGCATACAGTGGGGGCCCATGCCAAGAGACACCCTGCTTGCCTCCAGGGTGTCCTGAATTTCTTGGGTTTGAATTGTTTTGCGATGGGAAGCGTGACGTTCCCACGCCAAGAATCCATTGTCGCCCTGGGGTCTCAGGGTTGGGTTTCCTGTGGAAGGTTTCTTGTGGATTGGTGGATTGAGAAGATCCGTTAACACGATTCGGCAAGGTGTTCTTCAAGGCGGCTGGCGATCGCTGCTAACAGCAAGCAAGTGCAGCCACAGGACATGCCCAGACGGGCCCCATTGTTGTCTCGGCGTTTGCTTTACGTTTTTGTTGCCTGGACGCCGACTCAGATCTTCAAAGCATTCGCCGGACCCGCCGCGCGCGTCGCGAAACGTGGATCGTGGCATCAGGTGTCCAGTCCTAAACGTCAACCTGGCCTTGAGATCCGAGGGATCTCGTGAGCAGCGTCCGCGTGACAGTGAACCGCGGTGCTGTACTCGGAAAGCGCGCCAGTGGATGACCCTGTAATTGATTGAAAAAGGGGGGGGGGCTCGAAGAACCCCCCCCCTCTCCCCCCCTTCAAAAGGGAGGTGAGATTTTCGACCGCCCCCCCCTCCCCCCTTTAAGGGGGGGGGGGTCCGAACCGTCCTCCCTCCCCCCCCCCTTGAGGGGGGGGGTTCTGGACCCCCCCCCCTCCCTCCCTTGGCGCTGGAGGGGGGGGGGGGTTCGAACCCCCCCCTCCCCCGCTTTTTGCGCCGAGCAGGAGGCCGGGGACGGGGCCTCTCCCGCAAGGGGGGGGGTCTGGCCTCGGGATAGTGAGTAGTGAGTAGTGAGTAAAGACTAGAGAGTGGTGAGTAGGTAGTGAGTAGCGAGTAGGTAGTAGCGAGTAGTGAGGAGTGAGTAGTGAGTAGGGAGTAGGGAGTATTGCGCAGTGAGTAGTGCGTAGTGAATATAGTGGGGAGTGGGGAGTGAATAGTGAGTAGCGAGTAGGGAGTAGCGAGTAGTGCATAGTGAGTACAGAGTAAGGAATTCTGTGAGTAGCGAATAATAAGGAGGGATTAGTCAGTAGTGAGTAGCGAGTAGGGAGTAGTGAGTAGCGAGTAGGGAGCAGCGAATAGTGAGCAGTGAGTAGTTAGTAGTGAGTAGAGAGTAGTGGGGAGTGAGTAGTGAGTAGCGAGTAGGGAGTAGAGAGTAGTGAATAGTGGGTAGCGAGGAGGGAGTAGTCAGTGGTGAGTATTGAGTAGGAAGTAGTGAGTAGCGAGTAGGGGGTAGCGAGTAGCGAGTAGTGAGTAGTGAGTAGGAAGTAGTGATCAGTGAATAGTGAGAAATGAGAAGGGAGTAGGGAGTAGTGGGTAGTGCGTAATTCGGAATACTGAGCAGTGAGTCGTGAGTAGTGAGTAGTGAGTACTGAGTAGTGAGTAATTTGTAGTGACGTCTGACTAGTGACTAGTGGGTAGGGAGTAGGGAATAGGGACTATTGAGTAGTAGGTAGTGCGTAGTGCTTAGTGAATGTTGTGCATCGGATAGCGAGTAGGGAGTAGCCAGTAGTTTGTAGTGAGTAGTGAGCAGTGAGTATTGGTATGGAGTAGGAGTAGCGAGCAGAGAATAGTGAGTAGCGAGCAGTGAGTAGCGAGTGGCATTGACTAGTGAGTTGTGGGCAGTGCGTAGTGATCATTGAATTGTGAGTACTCAGTAGTGAGTGGTGGATAGTGTTTAGTGGGTAGTGAATAGTGATTAATGAGTAGTGAGTTCTGGGTAGTGGGGGGTGAGTAGTGCGTATTGAGTAGTGGGTAGTGAATAGTGAGTATTGAGTAGAGAGTTGGGAGTAGTGAGTAGTGAGTCGTGGGTAGTGGTTAGTGAGTAGCGGGTAGCGAGTAATTTGGGAATCGGGAGTAGTGAGTACTGAGTAGTGAGTCGCGAGTAACGAGTACTGGGTAGTGAATAGTCAGTAATAACTCGTGGGTAGGGAGTAGGGAGTAGGGACGATTGAGTAGTAAGCAGTGCGTAGCGAGTAGTGAATATTGCGTATCGGGTAGCGAGTAGCGAGTAGGGAGTAGCGAGTAGTGAGTAATGAGTAGTGAGCAGTGAGTACTGGTATGGAGCAGGAGTAGCAAGCAGAGAGTAGTGAGAGCGAGCAGTGAGTAGCGAGCAGCGGATAGTGAGTAGTGAGTTGTGGCAGTGAGTAGTGAGTAGTGCATTGTGAGTGCTCAGTAGTGAGTGGTGGATAGTGGTTAGTGGGTAGTGAATAGTGATTAATGAGTAGTGAGTTCTGGGGAGTGGGGAGTGGGGAGTGAATAGTGAGTATTGACCATTGGGTAATGAATAGTGAGTATTGAGTAGCGAGTGTAGGGAGTAGTGAGTAGTGAGTCGTGGGTGGTGGGTAGTGAGTAGTGGGTAATGAATAGTGAGTCGTGAGTAGTGAGCGGTGAGTAGTGAAAAGTGAGTAGTGAGTAGCGGGTAGTGAATGGTGGGTAGTGGGCAGTGAATACTGAATGCTGAGTACTGTTTTGGGCTAGGGGTAGGGTTTGGGGTTGGGGTTGGGGATACGGGTGGTCGGGGTGGTAGCCATAGTGGTGGTATGGGTCGGGTTCCCGAGCCAGGGGGCGCCGTGGCGAAAGGGGGGGGGGGGAAAGAGGGGGGGTCGAATTTGGAGGCCACATGGGGGGATGGGGGTTCCCCGACGACGGGTTGGGAATTGGGGGAAGGGGGGGGTCCCCGACGACGGACCGGGAAAGGGGGGGAGGGGGGTGAGATTCCCCGACGACGTATCGGGGGAAGGGGGGGGGGTTCCCCCCCCCCCTCTTTGGGGCCATCCAGCGGCGCGCCCTCCTATATTCGAGTAGGGACAAGCAGCAACAGCAGCAGCAGCAGCAGCAGCAGCAGCAGCAGCGAGCAGAGCGGCAGCGGCAGCTGCAGCAGGGGAGCGCCCGCGACTACTGCAGGCTTCAGCGCGAGCCTTTCATATTTGAAGAAGGAAAATTCGGCACAAACATAAACGTTTGGTGCTCCGCGCGGATTTCTTGGATCCGCGCTCAACCCCCTTCCCTGGCGCGCGGAGCGCGCCAGGGACGGCGCTGGATGCGTCGCTGGGGGGTGGCCCAGCGCGGATCCAAGGCATTCGCGCGGAGCGCCAAAAGCGTATGTTTGTGCCGTTCTTCTTCCTCCTCCCCACATGGCACAGGACAGCTTACGATCTCCACCACAGCGCCCCATGCTCGTGGCGCTGCTCTGCGCCGTGAGCCTCGGTGCCCCGCGGCGGGCGGCCGCGCTGCACGTGGAGGGGCTGCAGGCCCTCGACGCGGCCGCCCGGGCGCGGGAAGAGAGCGACGGGGAGGTCCTGAGCATCGATTATCGAAGACGCCCGCGGCCCATCCCGCCGCCGGGCCCGGGTTATGGCCCCCCCCCTTTGGGCCCGAAGAAGTCGCGCGAGAAGGCGCGCCAAGCCCAAGAGGTTTGAGAGCGAGAGGTCTGGGCCCCTCAGAGACTCCTCGGGGGGTGGGGGGCGGGGACTGAGGCTGAGACGAGTGGGCCCTGGACCTCAGGACACGCCCACTCCGTGCCCAGCGGCACAGTGGCGGATGACAGCGGCGCCAGGGAGGTCTCGGAGAACTGCCTCGCCGATCCCTCGCGCTCCAAGTGGAACATGACCACCAGGACGAGGGGTGCCGTGGCGCCTTGTGATTCATTTCTGCCGAAAAAGGTTGCCGTTGGGCCTCCTGCCGGCCATCTTGTGGGGGCCTCCGCGCGCCCCTTTCCTCGGGCTTCCTGTGCACGCGAGTTCATAGGACATAACTCAGCACAGTTCAACAGCAAAAAAAACAGACACGAGGAAGATGGGGAACCTGAAGGCTTCGGAGTTCGTGCAGCAGCCGCCAAAGCCCATCGAGGAAGTCAACAAGACCGTCAAGGTGGCCTTCCTGATGTTCGTCAACAAGAGGGTCGAGAACCCGAAGCTCTGGAAGCAGTGGATGCATGACGCGCGCGAGAACGGCCTGGATTTCAAGCTCCATATCCACGCATATGGCATATTCCGACCGTTCGGGGTCTACAATGCCAGCGAATTCCACCAGAAGGAGTTCCGCAAATACATGTCGAAAGGCTGGTCTTGGTCGAACTGGTGCATGATGTGGGACGCGGAGTTCCTCGTCTTCAAGGAGGCGTTCCAGGATCCAAACGTCACACACTTCATCACGCTCTCTGCAGACACCATCCCCGTGAAGCCGATGCGCTACATCTACCAGGCGCTGGAGGACGACCCCGTGACCCGCATGTGTGCGGACGACTACGTCTACAAGCCTTGGCCGCGGGCCGAGACTTGGTGGGCCATGCGCCGCGGCGACGCCGAGCTCTTCATCCAGCACGAAGACCAGGCGAGGGAGAAGTTCCGCTGCGAGTGCTCGGAGGATCAGTATCGTTTAACCGACCCGTTATCCCCATCTCCATCCTCGTCCAGACGCGGAGGCGGAGGCGGAGGACGAGGATGAGGAGGATGAGGAGGAGGAGGAGGAAGACCCCCACCACCCCACCACCCCAGTTGGGGGTATGCCCCTCGAGACCCGGAGGAAAAAGCCCATCTCCCCATTTGGGGGGATAAATCGGCCAGTGGGGCCCATGGCCCGGACCTCTCGGCGCCGCCTCTCGTCCCTGCGGGGTCCATTTCGATGTCGAGTCTGGCCGGCCCGATCCGATTCGATCGACGATCCTCGGACGGGGATGCGAGGAGAAGTCCGCTCCACGGGGCGCTCTGGGAAGCTCAGAGATTCGATTTTTAGCCTGGTCCGGTGTCACCTTCGCCCTGGCTCCGTCTTAGACGCAGTCAACCCGTCCTTGGCCACTCTCGCTGGCCGCGCCCCGCCCGAACAGCCTCGAAATGGGGATCCACGGCCCTTGCATCCTTCTCGCGCCTCCTTATGTTACGGGTCGACTGTACCCTCGTCCGATTGGAGAGGCCTGACGGCCGGTGCCGCCGACCCTCATCGAAAGGGCTAGGACTGGGGGGAGGAAGCGGAGGAGGAGGAGGAGGAGGAGGAGGAGGAGGAGGAGGACAAGGAGGAGGAGCAGGAGGAGGAGCAGGAGGAGGAGGACGTCGGATTTTAACCTCGCCCTGGCTTCGCCTCAGAGGGGGGTCGGTTCCAGCGGTGCTCCGAGGAGGAGGCCTGGTACTACCCGCTCCGCGCCCGCATGGAGCGCTGGGGCCGAGAGGCGGCACCCGTGAAGAACGAGTGCATCACGCTCACGGACTGGGCCGACGGGAACCAGTCGTGCAAGCAGTGGGCCGACATGGCGAGCGGGGCAGACGCTCCCTGGACCCCTAAAACGACGCGAAGATCGGGACAAAATCGGATCGGGACAACTCGAAGTCTCTGAGAGTCGGCGGGTTTGGAGGATGGATTGGGCGCCGCGGCCGCTCCAGAGCGTTCCGGAACGCTCTGAGAGCGTTCGGAACGCTCTGGAGCGATTGATCCCGATCCTAGCCCTGTTTTAACCCCGTCGCGAGGTGGGCAAAATCACGGCGGGGGGTGTCCGCCGGCTTCGGCCTCCCGCGGGGCCCCTGCCGGGCCCCGGGGCCGTCCAAGACGACGGGGGATGCAGAGCCGGTCCCGGGGCACGGGTCGCGGCACTGCGGGGTCGGCGTTATGAAAAAATCATGACGTCGGGGGTCCGGGGACGAAGCAGTATTGTGACACGTGAGGCGCTCTCCCTTGACCCCGGAACCCCGGCCCGGGGAGCCGGGTCTGGAGCACACCAGGCCCCCCAGGGTGCCTCAGAAGGCCCCCCCTCCCCTCCGCCTCCCTGGAGCAAGGGCGCCCTCGAGGGCGCGAAGTTATTCGCGCTTCGCGGTTCGGCTCCGATTCCTCCTCATCCTCCTCTTCTCCCTTGGGAGGCGGCGCGAGAGCACGACGTTATTCGCACTTCGCGCGTCGCGCAGCGCGAAGCGCGAAGTTGAGAGCCCTTGTGGAGCCTCCCCGGAGCCTTGGGGCCCCCCGGGCCAGAAGGCTCCCAGAGCCTATACCGAAGACCCAAGAGGGCCCCTTCCCAAAAGGCTCCCAGGCCCCTCCAGGAGGCTCCTGGCGCTACAAAGGAGCCCCAACACGGCTCCAAGAGGCCGCCCGAGTGCTCACAGAGGACCTCCAAGGGGCCAAATCAATTAACGACTTCAGGGTTGATTTTCTATAGAAAATGAGTAAACGTGGCTCCAAGATGGCCCCAGAGCCCCAAGAGGCCCACGAGAGAGCCCCAGTATCGCCACAGGATGTGGCCCAAGACTGCCCCGACAGAGCACCACGAGAGCCGACGAAGGCCTCGGGAGCAGCCCAAGGGGTCCCCAAGATGGTCTCCAGAGGCCCCTGGGCTCCCCCAGGAGGCCCCCAGCGCTGCGAGGTGGCCCCAGGGCGGTCACAAGAGGCGACCGGCGCACCCAGGTCCAAGTCCACTTGGGGACTCCCCAATGTGTTTCATGATCTTCTGGAGGCGTCACATGTCACCACTCACCAAACCACCCCAACCATCTCGGCACGGCCCCTCTTGCGCGCTATTCGTTTGGCCCCTTGGGAAGTATGTAGAACTCGATCGCGCGCGGAACGCGCGTTTTGTGTGTGTGTATATATATATATATATATATATATATATATATATATATATCGGAGTAGGGCCCCGGGGCGGTGCATGTCATCTCCATGGGGTGTGCAGGGCGCCCCCGGGAGCGTCCGAAGCGTCCAGGAGGGCCCCTGGGACCGCCAGGAACAGTTCGAGACCGCCCAAGACGGCCCGCGAGCGCTCCAAGACGCGCATACATAGCCTCAGGAATGGCCAGGAAGGCCCGAAGACGTTCCAAGAGAGCTCCATGAGGCCCCGAAGGCATCCCAAGAGGCCTCCCAAGAGAGCCCCGACAAGCCAAAATCGTTGATTTGTATCGTTTTTTTCGAGGTTTTTGGCTTTCTCGCTTTTTCGGGGTTCCGACGCTCCAAGACCGTCCAAAAGTCTCCCAAAACCGCTCCAAGACGGCCGAAGAAGCCCCCAAGACCGCCCCAAGACGGCCCAAGAGACCCCCCAAATCGTCCCAAGACGGCCCAGGAGAGCCCCAAGATGGCCCAGGAGCCGCCCAAGACGGTTCCAGGAGAGCCCCGACAGGGCTTCAAGACTGCCTAAACGAGCCCAGCGGTCCCCAAGAGGGCCCCGCCAGGCCCCAAGAGGCCCCGAAGAGGCCCCCAAGAGCCTCCCCGGAGGCCCCCAGAGGCCCCCTAAGAGGCCCAAAAATTGTCCTGAACGCGCCCCAAGACGCCTCCAGGAGAGCCCAACAGGCCTCCGAGAGGCCCCCAAGAGGCCCTCAGGAGGTCGTCCCCATCATGTTCCCGGAAGGCGGTCCGGGAACATGATTCCGCTCCTTGGAGGAGTATTCTGCGCTTTCCGAGGCGCCTTCCGAGGCGCCTTGGACGACGTACTACGTTTCTATAGATGGTCCTTCTCCTGTGTACACAATCCTACATGTCTTACGTATGGGCTTCTCTCTCTATATATATATATACATACGCACACACACATATATAAATATATATATATATATATACAATATATATACACATATATATATATGCATACATACATACATATATATACACATATATATATATATATATATATATACCCCTCCCCCAAGCCCTCCTGAGTCGTGCCACTTCCTCTCACGTATTTCAAATTATCCCGGCAAAGCAACCTAACATCGATGTGTAGGAGCATATATGGAAGCATTCCCCTTAAGATTCGGATGAGAATCCAGTTGTAGAATTCTGCTGTTCTCGCAGTCGTAGTCGCATTCGCGATGACAGTCGCAGTGGCAACGGCAGTCGCAGTCACAGCCTCAGCCTCAGCCTCAGCCTCAGCCTCAGCCTCAGCCTGCCTCAGCCTCAGCCTCAGCCTGCTTCAGCCTCAGCCTCAGTCTGCCTGCAGCCTCGGCCTCAGCCTCAGCCTGCCTCAGCCAGAGCCTGCCTCAGCCTCAGCCTCAGCCTCAGCCTGCCTCAGCCTCACCTGCCTCAGCCTGCCTCAGCTCAGCCTCAGCCCTCAGCCTCAGCCTGCCTCTGCCTCAGCCTCAGCCTGCTTCAGCCTCAGCCTCAGTCTGCCGTCCGCCTCGGCCTCAGCCTCAGCCTGCCTCAGCCTCAGCCTGCATCAGCCTCAGCCTCAGCCTCAGCCTGCCTCAGCATCAGCCTGCCTCAGCCTCAGCCTCAGCCTGCCTCAGCCTGCCTCAGCCTCAGCCTCAGCCCGCTTCAGCCTCAGCCTCAGTCTGCCTTCAGCCTCGGCCTCAGCCTCAGCCTGCCTCAGCCTCAGCCTGCATCAGCCTC